AGAGTTTGGTTTAATTTATATATTAATTTGTATACTCGAGTGATTTCTTTTTTAATGTTTTGTAGGTCTCTTGGATTCATACTAAGAACAACAAGGTGGTTTTTACTATAAAGAAAAGTTCCGTTATAAACGAAACCAAAAAATTAAAAGAAACGAATGTGTTGAGAATACCAAGCCTTGGTTGATTAAATATCAACCAAGGGGGCTTCAATTAAACTAATGTGTTGATGTTCAATACAAAGGTTTCATATGTAGATAATCCGATGATCCTCACTAAAGTTCTCTTGTGGTTTTTTTCTTTTGAACAACAACCATAAGAGAAAATTTTTGTTTCTCTTACGGTTTTTTTCTTTTGAACCACAATCATAAGAGGAAAGTCCTGTTATCTCATTATATAAAGTTTAGTTTTGTTGATGTTCTATTACAATCGACTATTAATCTCTGAACGCCATGTTCTCTTTCTACACCATGTCATCGTAGCCGCACGTATTCAGACTCTTCACTTTAAATACTCTGGCTTTTATCTTTTTGGTGGATTTATTTTGTTTTTTTTTTAACTCAAATTTTCATGATTATTGCGTATTCTTTAAAGTAACTCTGTTAATCAAGCCATTGAACTACTCATACATAAAGAAGAATCTCACATTATCTTCCTCAAAGAGGTAAACGCAAAGTTATGTTATTTTCTTAAAGAGATAAAAAATGTTTTTAATATGTCAGCATGGATCTTTTGAGCCTGATTTAGGGATTTTTTAGATTGAATTAATGAATACCGTTTAGTAAACCGATTTGGATTTTTTAGATTGAATTAGTAAATATTGTATAGATTGGTTTCTGTTGTTTCTTCTATATTTGCAATAAGTAAAGCAATGATGAAGTTGTACTCGGTGTTGCTACAAGAAATTGGAGCGGCAAATCTTTTTTTTTTTGCTAAATGGAGCGGCAAATCTTAACTTTGGAGAAGGAAATTATATATTGATGGGTTAACGTTGCGAGACATTGTAATTTGGTTTTTTGTCTGCGTACGTTTCTCACTATATATGATATCTAGACAAATTTATCCTATCATTCTTGTATGACAACCCAGGACAAGGTGCAAAAATAGTTTGAGCTCCAAGAACAAACGCCAAGATCCTAAAGCTTAATGAAGT